TGTTTCTGTTGTTCCATTCATGTGTTCCCACGAGTAGCAAGGGAAGAGCCCCGCAGTACCAGAGTTAGGCTGATCACAATGAGGTTTCGCCTAGTTCCCCAAGAGGATCTTTCGTGACCGCATATCACCCTGCGGCCATTCAGCTGTCGGCACGATTCCTTACCTTGGGTGGGCTGGTCCACGGTGACATATTTTGCAAAGGCCTTTGAGGGGGTTTTACTTCCCCTCACCCTACTTATTTCTGCTAGTGACCAGAAGACCGGAGACCCCATCCCGGACAGGGCCTCCAGGGCCTGAATGCTGCGTTACTGTTTTCATAAATAAATTCATATGAATAGTGAATTGAATTGATGAAATACAAAAACATTACATGAAGAGCATTAACAGTTTGTGGTACCAGTGAAATCTGCGATACTGTTTTCACGAATATATTTATTTGAACAGTGAATTCAATTAATGAAATATATAAATGATTACCTCAGGAGCATAAATGAGTTTATAGTATTATTGTAAGATAAGTTACAGTTTTCATGAACGTATCAATTTGGAAAATGAATTCTCTCCGTAAAATTGATATAAACACTTTTAGTTGAATGCATAATAATAATTCATGTTGCTCATGTATGAGCAACTCATAAAGTAGTTTTGTGGATTTGTATGAACGTTTCATGATATTCATGAACACCAGTTAACTGTAACCATAAAATAGTTCATTAGAAAAATAAGCTAAATTAATGTATGCTTTCAATGAATGTTTTAATGTATAATACGTACCTTTTTGCTTGAGTGAAGATGTTGAACATTTATAGGAAGATTTTTTCATGTAACTTGTAGCAATTGCAACCAGATCTACATAGGATAAATCAGTAGATTTATCAAAGACAGAATCAGGGGACATACAAGGGGTATATAATAAAAAAAAAGTTGCCCTTCAGCACAACACTCCATCAACTTTGGCCACAAAGTAGCTATGACAGTGTCAAAATATTAGACTACTCTATGACAAACAATGATTAGAGTTTCAAGAGAAATTGTAGATAGATTCAATAAATGACTTTTTCCTACTTTCCTAAAGAATCAGATACATTTCAGATGAAAATAAAGTATTCAATTCCTACATTTTCTGAAAGCTCGTAATATGGACTATTCTAGGATGTACAGGGTGTTCCATTTGAAAAAAATACTGAGAAAAAAGTGATCCCAAGTTTTTTTTACCACTGTGTAGAAAAATGCACCGTTCGGTAAACTTATGAAGACGAAATAAGAATACACTATCTTCAAGGATATTTGGTTGACAAATTTCCTCATTCCATTTGATCGAATAGGAGACATTTTGTGGTGAATTAATCCATTTTTTAAAATAAATTTCACTATAACTTTTGAACCACCCAGTATAAATCCAAACAACCCCATTCTTGAGAAACACTCTGCCCAAGAAATTCAATTTAATTAAAATATCTGAAGTATTCTATTTGAAAAAACCTAAGTATGATCTGTCACACATTTATTGGACACCCTATGTTAGTAATAATCATCACAACATAGTTTTCATTAATCCTTACAATTTTTTCACAAAACATTTGTATTTTTGATAAGGAAGCAGCTGTCGTTCACCCAATTATCGTTGATACACACTAGACACACATGTGCATATTATCTATATCAGTTTTTTGTTGAAAAGCTGGATTGTCGCAGACCAAACTTAAGGAAAAAAGTTCCGTTCTATTCATTTTCGTCTTCGTCATTCATCTACAGCGAAAAATCAAAATAACCAGGTTCACAAAAAAAGATGTTCAATTTCTCTTACATTCTTCGAAGACCTTTTATTATTATTATTATTTATTATTATATATACTTTATTGTCCTAAGAAAAAACTTTGTTGACAAAGTTAGTGAAATACATAAATGTCTTATGAATATAAAAATATAGATAAAATATAATGTAAACTAAAGTATAAAAACACTGAATAAAAACCACAAATAATGGTTGAAACATACATACACATAAAACATGCTAGGTTAAAAATGATCGGTATAAAACTCAGTCAAACTGTAATAGGGTCTACTACTTTAAATTTATTTAATAATTTTTCTGTTCCGATTGTTATTAATATTTATCTCTTTAGTGTAACTGTGCAGATGGTTAAACATATTCACACCATTGTAAAATAAGGAGTCCTTGACCAGAAAGTTTTAAGGAATAGGTAATTTTAAATTTTTTGCATACTCTGACGAGTTATATAGTGATGGGTGGTAACCTCAAGTTTCACAAGATGTTTCTTGATTAAACACACTGTCTACAGAATAAAAAGATCTACAACCTTCAAAATTTTTTTATCTATAAACAGTTGCCTGCATGAGTCACGAGGTTTAGCTTTGCATAAGTATCATATACATATACAAGTATCATTCTGTAAAATACAGACTAAAGCAAATTAAGGCTACACACACCCCAAAAAGGTATACCGTACCTTAAGTGAGACTTTACCAAACCGTGACATGGTGTTTTCGCAGTATAAACTCCCAGTTCTCTAGCAATAACTCTCACTGCATAACAGCCGGTGAAAATTTTACTTTTAATTTTTCTGATGTGAGCGTCAAATTTCAGTCCACCGTCTATATACACTCCCAGAAATTTAGTACACTCTCTGTTCTCAATCGTACCACTCGCTGCAGATAAATTCTGAAGTCAACATTTGAAAGTCATAATATTTGTTTTAGAAATATAAAGGGAGAGTAGATTTGAATCACACTTAGACTTGATTTTTTGTATATCGTGAGCTATTGTCTAATTGAGTATATCTATACCTTTACTATGCCACATTATACTGGTGTCGTCAGCGAAAAGATTGAATGTTCCAGATATACTTATGTTCATCAAATCGTTGATATACAACAGGAACAATATGGGACCGAGAACCGATCCCTGTGGTACACCAGTATTTATGTCAATACTGTTTGAACATTCAGTCGTGTTCACAATCTAACTGCGACCATTGAGATACGACTCAAACCACCATAGTGTTATCCCTCTACATCCTTATTTCATGATCAACGTAGTCAAACGCTTTTGTAAGGTCACAAAACGCTGCTGCAGCAGTATCTCCATCATGCATATTGGAATACACCTCAAACAGGAAAAGGAATATTGCATGTGTACTCTTGTTGCTCTGGAATCCAAATTGATTTTTCCTTATAATGTTGTGGCGAAGGAGATATTCGTCTTTTCTTAACTAGTTTTTCAATTATTTTTGCAATAGTAGGAATGAGAGATATTGGTCGATAATTCAAAGGATCATCTACAGAGTTACCTTTATATAAAGGAATCACTATTGACAATTTTGGAAGGGATGGAAACCTGCCATTTCTGAATGAAAGATTGATTAGTGATACAAGAGTTCTAAACGCTTCTATCGAAAGATCTTCAATAATTTTGATTGAAATTTCATCATAACCAAATGTTTATTTATTCCTTATATCACCAAAAACTTCAAACAGTTCATCAATATTCGTATCATCCAATTGAAGAAATTCATTGATTGCAACATTTTCTGAATTAATAAGTTGGTCATATGGTACCACAATATTTTGACTAAGCTTCTATCCAATCGAACAGTAGAATTCATTTATATCGTCCACTCTGATTGGTATTTAAATATCTTTGCTCTTTTTGGTACTATTTCTCAAATCATTCATGACAGACCATCTTTCTTTCATTTTACTGTGAGAGTAATCAATTCAATTTTTGAAGAAAATTTCTTTAGAAAGTCTGATGGTATTCCTAGAAATTCTCCAATAATTATTATAATATAAATGAAAGTAAGGATTATCAGTGAATTTCTGCAGATGGTGTAAAGAGCGAAGATTTCTGAAGGCTTTTTATTTTTTGTTTTCATCTTTTGAAGAGTAAACAAAAAATTTAACACTTTGATGAGTTGGTTATGGAAAACAAGGATGGGATCATTTTAGTATAATATGTTTTTCCAGTCAAGTTCAAGACAGTTTCGGTAGAACCTATTATAATTCGTACTGCTGTAGAGTCTTTCTTACTTTTCATAACATATCGAGATCTATGGTACATTTAATGGCTTCATGATCTGAAAGTCCTGAGGAAATAACTGTGCACTTAAGATTTTCCAAGTGAAAATTACTCGAAATATAATCAATACAAGACGACGATTATTGAGAAATGCGAGTATATGAATTAACATGCATGTACAAACTGAAATAGTTGAAGAGATTATTTATGAAGTGTTTGGGTGGTCGGTGAATTCATGTCCATATAATCTATATTGAGATCTCCAGTCACAACTGAATTTGAATATATCGATAAATCGGTCAAAATTAACTCTAATTTATCTAAAAATAACAATCCATCGGCAGAGGGCGATCTATAGAGGCACATAATATACAATTTAATTTCTTTGAAATAGTAAACAATTCATAGTGAAAATGGTTTTTTCATTAACTATTCAGAAACAAGTCATTGCCGAAGACCCGGAAAAGAACAATTTTAATATCCGTAAAACTGCAGCATTGTTCCTCGACCAAATCTCAAGGTTCCTTTCCACATCCACCATCGAAGTCTCTGGCCTGCTGAGACAGAAGTAAACTTAGATAAAATTCGCAATCTCGACACTCTCTTCATATGAATTCTCCTGTAAACATATATCACAACAGCATAAAAACCAAATACACTTGACCAGATGAAACGCAAGTACCCATTAGCTACATCGCGCACTTTCAATCATTGAAGGAAACCAAATGAAAATTATTTACAGTACTGTCCGACAAAATGACAGCAAAAGCTCCCAGTCAACACTACAAAATGAGCCTTATCCTGCTCTGAAAGAAGCAGCAAATTAGTTTAACACTACGGCATTGTATTGTCAAGAAAGATCTCTGTGAGGTGCGTACGTATACAGGTAGGCAAAACTTGTTTCCCACCACTTACCTGTCTTGAGGTTGAGTACGACTTTCAGTATTGTGTTACACTGAGGAGAGAAAGAACGACTGAGGTACGCGAGTTTAAGTGTCCAGTGAATATACCGTTGCTCGCTTGGATTTCCTCAAGGGAATTTGACTGAACTGTTCACATGTGTATCAAGTGTCGGTGAAAATAAAGAAAGGTAAGTGAGAACCCAACTGAGTCTACAAGGATGTCCTGGTAGAATGATAGATACTCTACATACTTTGCACAATGCGGCTTACTACCTGCTTCTTTTATATATGACATAAAGGCCGAATATATCCAAAGGTTCGAATAAACTCCCAATCCCATGCCCGAAAAGTAATATTCCTTCACAATCTTCATTTTAAAGTTATTTTGAATTCAGGTCATACTGATGCAGGAAGGTTGTTAACTCCTCAGGCTAAATGTCTTCTGAATTCTTGAATCTATCACAGTCGGGCTGAACCTCTACATAACAGGATTATTTGAATATTCAAAGCATGGGAAGTTTATCGAACATTTCATTTGTGCTAACCGAGTTGTTATTCTTCGAGGCATGCTTGGTGGAATTTTACCGCACCTTAGCCATTTATTCTTGAAGGTTTATCTCATTGTAGTGAAAGAGCTGAGTAATTCTTCAACTATTCGATTGGCAACTTGGTGAGCAATTTCGTGAAGTAATGTTTATTTCAGTCATTGACATGGATAGTCTTTTAATTACACATCCATCTTTTTTCATCTCTGTCTACGGGATATGACAGTACATTAGGAAAAGAAAAGGGACCTGAGGATTAGTTCGTACCTTCTTACAAATTTTGGGCTTTTAACAAGTAGGCCAAACTTTTTGCCTTGGTAGTCGAAACATTTTTGTTAGAGTATCGTGATACCGAATTAATTGTACTGTGAATTTTTAGTTATGTAGTTCATTTGAATTAAGTTATTTTATCTCGTTTTACACACGCTACTGTTGAATTTTAGAAGTAAAAAGATGAGGTTCTTTGCATTTAAGCGTTATGAATATCTTTGAATATACTGGGGCTTTCTATTTCACTCAAATATTCATTTATCTGACAAGAAGGTAAGATATAGAGAGAAAAAGATAATTATTTTCATTTTGTGTTAGATGTATACTCTCGTACTATATATCCCTTTGATTACTTCTGTCCAAAAGTAGATAATAATAATGACTATCATTATAACAATCGTCTCACTTAGTGTAATATTTGACAATCGAAATCAGAAAGAAAACTATATATTTCTGTTTCACTTTTACTTGTGATGATATAGAAAGAAAATTAAATGATGAAATGAATGTATTTGGAAAAATTGAATGTTCAAAAATGGATACAGCACCAGCTGTTCAATCTTAATCATATATACTGAATAAATCTAAATTGAGAGGAATAATAATTGCAGAAATGCATAAAAGAATGAATCAAGTAAAGAAATTACGGAAGCGCAGGGGCGCCACATATTTTTTATTATTTGTTTCTTGGAAATTACGACTTTGAATCTCGAAATTTCGACTTTTATCTCGAAATTTCGACTTTCATTTCGAAATTTTGACTTTCAGCTCAAAATTTCTACTTTTATCTCAAAATTTCGACTTTATTCTCGTAATTTCGAAATTACGACTTCAAACTCGAAATTTTGACTTCAATCTCGAAATTTCGACTTCAATCTGGAAATGTCGACTTTAATCTCAAAATTTCGACTTCAATCTCGTAATTCCGAAATTACTTCAATCTCGAAATTTCAACTTAAATCTCGAAATTTCGACTTTAATCTCGAAATTTCGACTTTAATCTTGAAATTTCGAGATTAAAGTCGAAATTTCGAGTTTGAAGTCATAATTTCGAAATTACGAGATTAAAGTCGAAATTTCGAGATTAAAGTGTAAATTTCGAGATTAAAGTGTAAATTTCGAGATTAAAGTCGAAATTTCGAGTTTGAAGTCGTAATTTCGAAATTACAAAGTCGTAATTTCCAAGAAACAAATAATAAAAATATGTGGCCCTTCTGCGCTACCGTAAGAAATGGATTGCACTTGACAAAGAATTTCAGACACGAATAAAACTGAATACAATTTCAAAGAAGGCTCTACAGGTAGATTAAAAAAAATTATACCTGTAGGACATAACGATTTGAAAGGTACGAATGGAAAGAAGTAAATTATTTTATGGGCTAGCCCACAATATGAATGATCAACTACTGCTATCCAGGTCAGATTAATTATAGGTTAAGTCAAAACAGAAAGACCTAATATAAATAACAAATCAAACAAAATGATAGCTACAAGTATAATGGTTGTGAATAGTATTTCCACTCTCAGCCTTCATTTGATTTTCATTTTCATATTTATTGAAACTGATGTCATATTTAGTACAGCTTGTAAAACGTAGGAGGAGCTTTCTGATTTCCGTTATTCTCCCGCCTAATAGATGTTTGTTCATTAGGAGACTATGACAGCGAGAGAAAGATAGAATTTTCTTCCTAGATTTGACAAGATCTACATCTGATTATAAACAATTATCAAGCAAGAAAGAACAGTTTGGCTGTTTATTCAGATAAACATCACAGATGGTTTTTGGTTCCTCTTCAGTGCGAATAAATCTTTCGCCTTTTACTAAAGACTTCTGTGGAGAGAAGCCAAACAGTTTACTAATAACTCATTTTTTTTTTGGAAATCGCATCATTTCAAAGTAAAAATTTAGAATCACATGATTCCATTTCTGGAATTGATTTCTATTTGAAAAACAAAAGTATTTATGCAGTTAGATGATTTGCTGTTTACACGGAGAATTTTTTTCTAACAAAAGGCTGTGTCTCAACGTGTATTTGGCTAACCAAGTTAGCATCGTCAGGGGATGACTGAAACTGTTTTCGTCATTTCCTGATGATGTTAACTTGATTAGAAAGTCGCGCGTCGAGAAACATATTCTTTCATGATATATGTATTCAGCTTATTTGCTTTTCAATTCTGATTTGTTTCTATCCTAACATTTTCCACATACTCAAACTTTACATTTCCACATTCAGCAACTCATCAGTCTCATTTTCAAGCTTTTTCAACCCTAAATTAGAGACACAAACAAACAGAAACCTAATAAAATTAATTGGTTATTCCTCTCTTCATCTCTTCTACTTTTTACTTTCAAATTTATATATGAATGTGCACATTTTTCGAATAGAAAGAAATCAATTAAAAATGCTAATCAAAATATTTCTAAAACGTATATATTTCACCTACATAAATATTTCTTTCGGATACAAAAAGAAAAAACCTTTTTCCTACTCATTTCTTTGCAAATTTATTCTCTCCTTCAATTACATTTTCTCATGAATGTATCTCATTCATCTACTTCTTGAAACTATGTTATTTGCATATAATCTACAAATTGACTATCTAGTCCTTTGAAAAGTGTTTGTAAATTGATTATATTTGATTCGAGTGACGGTAATTGTTTTTCTTTAGGATCACTTTCAATTAATTCTACGATTACATCAGAAAAAGAAGTAATTCGAAAATGTTTACAATAGAAAAAGAATATTTCAGATGGATATTGACACCTGTTTCTGCCTTTGTTTGCATTTTCTCACCTGTTCTTTGGATTATCTCATACCCTCGTAACACTTAATCCACAAATCCTGCCAATGTCCAAATTACTTAATGGTGGCCATAATACTTCACTGAGTAGTCTTACCGGTGTATAGCAATTAAAATTAATGATTGTTTCATGATTTCAGTGTTAAATAGTGCGAACAGTACCGTTTGGAGACTATGGCAATAATTTAATAATTATCTTATTTAAGTTATTAGGAACGCAATAATTGCAAATTATTGAATGATGCTCTCCTAAGAGCTTCTAGGCCATTGTTCTGTATTGGATTCGTATAATAATTGTGAAGAATTGGGTGACGAAGGACACAAATTGAATATTTGATATCAGCATTTATCAATCGATATTTTTGATAGAACAAGAGACTGCTCGAATAATCATTTTGTTTCAAGATTCCGGTTTGATCCACAATTTTAATATTAAATGAAATGTCGTGAAATAGCTCTGAATTTGGAGGTACATATAAAAAATTATCTGAATAAATAGAATAACAAATACTATGCAAATATGTTTGAACATATATCAACAGAGTGCTGAAAGAAAAAACCTTTCTATGATAATCTTGAAATAACACTAGATAGATACTTTTTTGAAAAGGAATTTCTGCTGTATTATATATCTTTTAATTATAATTGTTCATTATTGTCACTACACTGAATCATTTCAACGAGAAGCATGATACAGAACTATTTTTTCTTAAGGTGAAAATAATTTTTAAAAACGTTATTCCTTTCTAAGCAAACCTGGTCTTTTGATTATGAGAAACAAAATGAAATTCGTTTCGTTTGCAACTCAGGAAACAATAATTTGCCCAATTTTCAACAATAACTCATTTGAGATAAAAATTCATTAACAGTAAAATTGTGCAATTAAATAAATCTGGATACGTTATGAAATGCTAACACAAAATTACACCAAACAAAAAATTATTGTTTAAAATATCCCACATTACGGCAAATATGCCTCTGCGCTTTTTCTCTTGGTCGGGATTTTATTTATCAATTCCACAAGAAAATATGATATGATTCATTTCTCAAGGAAATCAACCGTTCAATCGACATTTTGAAAATGTCATTGAATAACTGACAAATTCTATTGAATGAACGAAATGACACCAATGAATGAACGAAATGGAAAATTTCTGACATTTTATTTGAATATTATCAAAGTGGTACCAAATCTGATAATTTTTTCTGACCCAGTCCGATATGGTAGGTCAGTTTTATACACCATCCTTACTTCATAATCTGAGTATTTTTTTTCTATTGATATATTTTTGATGGAAAATCTCCCTTTCCATTTTTGACTATCGTAATATCTGCAACAGAACTTAATGGTTTTCATTTGAGTCTATATCCTGTAAAATTTTCATTCAGCTTTTTAAATTTCCTCTGTATTTTCCTTTGTGATTCTATAAGAACCGTTTCCTCTTTAATATCATACGATTCATTTGATGTACCTGAATCTGAAAACTACTCAGAAATATTTTCTTCCACTCAATATTTTTTTCTTCGCAAGTTTCTGCCTTCTAATTGGTCTTGCAACTTTTCTTCATTCCTTCACTTCTTCCAATTCTTTTTTCTTCTTTGGGTTTTTGGCATGAAACGCATTACAAGTCGGTGAAGCTACTACCAGAGGTACCTCCTCAGTTCGTCTGTTCCTCATTTCCGATGTTCATCTGAAAATTGAAAAATGTTTTTCATCTGTAACCTTTCATTTGATTTCCCAAATACTGTTGCCGTTAAATTGCAATTTCAATATGGTTTAGAAATGAGAACAATTCATCAACTTGGGATGTGGTCAAATGTTGAACTGTAGTGAATACCCACATACATTTTAGTCATGATACAATATTTGTGAATATTCAAAATGCGGTCAAATACTGATTTGTCAAATCTGGGAAAATCCAACATGGGAAAGAAAAGCATACAAGATACCTCCAATTAGGAATATAAGAACGTTTTCATAGACGGAATCATAGGAGAAAGAACAAAATCATTGCTGATAGACCGTGGAACCTGTTGTACCAAACATCCCGTCTTCTACTGCGGCAGACATCGTCAGTGGATGAACCTCAGCAACGATTGATTGAAAATTTTTCGAAAATTTGTATTCGAACCAGTGAATGGCCACCCAGTCATTTGCCACATTTTTTTTACTGACCCACTATAACTCCTATCAAATACCCACACCAGTAATGACTATATGCGAACTCGAAATTCGTATAGAATAACTTAAATACTTAAACAATAGACATATGTCAAAAATGTTTATGTACACAAAACAAAATTTGCTTCTCACCTATCAGACCAGTGCTGAAGCCTTTAAAAAAGGTAAAAAGTGAAAAAAAAATTATAGTAGGATGAAACATCAAAACAAGAAAGATAATATAACAAACATGAAAGGAAAAATAAATTGAGGTCGATCAGAGGTTGAAGTGTAGAGGGGGTGAGTTTTGAAGGGTACAAATCGGTTTATCTCGATTTCCGGCAAAACTATAAGTCCTACGGAAAAAAGTTATCAGGCAAAGTTGTAGGTGGTAAAAAGATCTACAACTTTTTTACTCACACTTTTTTCTTGTATCCCCAAAATGTATGTGAAAAATTCAAATAAACAAATTTTTGGTTTCTTATTTTTATCTGCGACTTTTTGGATTTGAAATATTCATTTTTTCACCTCATTTTGATTTATTATTGCAAAAGCACCCTAAATTCCAATCAAAAATGTTCAAACTTTTTTTTGTAATCTTTGAATGTTTTTTATTTTTTGAAAACTTATAAAACAACAATAAAAATTAATTGGCGCTCCGATGCGACTTCATTGATTCCAGTGACGCATTTGCTTTTTCAGCTGTAGGAAAACCTGGAAAAATCTGCAGCACCACATCATCTGAAGATCTTTATCTGCCAATGTCATCTCTCTCATAAAACAAAACATAGGGTGTCTCCAGAGGTTCCAATAAATTCAATACATCGCCAGAACACTTCGTGACAAGACTATCGTCAAACTTAAACCCGTCCATTTCGTCTTTGACCAATGCGTAATAATGACCAAATTCAACGCCAGAACCACAATGAACAATGAGTGCATGAATATTATAATAGTGGTCTGCTAGATTGAAGTGTTCATCTATTTCGAACCTTCCGTCAGAGGTTGAGTCTTGTTTGAAGATCATCAGTGTCAAACTATCTGCTTTTTTAAAAGAATCGATGGGCTTTTCGTTCGTTGAAATCTCTACTTTCTGATAGTGTAAAAAACACATTATTATGGCAAATGTTCTCAGAAAATGCAAAAAATTTAAAAAACTCGAATCCAAAATTTGATCTGATCATTATGTTCAATTTTGAGCTATTTATTGAAATTAACACGTTAATTACTCCTATATTGATTCTGTTACATTGATAAACAAAAACTACAAATCCATAAAACATTAGGATTGCAAAAAAATATGTGAAAATAGTTTTTTAAAATATTGAAAATAGGATTTTAAAGGAATTTCATCTAAAAAATGTGACTGCTACAATTTTTCTCAGTGAAAAAGCTGGTTTATTAAATTCTTATCACATTTTTGTCATAGAAATCCTCAATTCACATACCTGTGAATCGTATTCTTGAATTTAGGTACTTTTAACTGATTATGTATTATGATATTTTTAAATACATTAGTTATTGTCTCTCTGATGGTATTCCTTCCTCGTTAGACTCGACAAACGTTTTTGATTCTAGCAGATCTTCGAAATCTTCAAGACCATCACCGTCTGTCTCCACTATTATTCCCAGTCTGCATTGCTACTTCATCCACAATTTCTTCTGAATCATTAATTTACTCGTAAGCTTTCTTCATCACGGCAGCCACATTTTGAACTGTTTCATACAGTTTCACAGTTTCAATCAAAATAAGGTGTGTTTGGTACACAAAAAGACGAGTTTTCATCAAATTTCGTGTTAATTTTTTTTGTAAAATATGAAAAACCGTAAACTTGGTTATTTAAATTTTTCACGTAAAAATTGAAGTTATATGAAGAAATTGTGAATGCAAAAGTTGTAGGTAAAACTTTGTTATTTAACTTTTTCCATAGGA